AGGTATACAAGTGGACACGTACAGGTAAAGTTTGGGTCTCCCTTTGGTCCCACTTTGCCTGGTTTGAGATCAGGTACACTACCCCCACTCCCTTGGCAGTATCCTGCTGCTGCCAATTCCTTTCTTCTTTTTTTTTTTTTTTGAGTCGGAGTCTCACTTTGTGGCCCAGGCTGGAGTGCAGTGGCACACTCACGGCTACCGCAGCCTCGACCTGCTTGGCTCAGGCAATCCTTCTGACTAAGCCTTCCAAGTAGCTGGAACTACAGGTGTGCGCCACCATGCCCGGCTAATTTATTTATTTATTTTTGATTTATTATAGAGATGAAATCTCACCAAGTTACCCAGGCTGGCCTCAAACCCCTGAGCTCAAGCAATCCTCTCACCTTGGCCTCCCAAAATGCTGGGATTATAGACTTGAGCCATTGCTCCTAGCCCCAATTCCTTTCTTATAGCATTATGGTAAATGTTCAGGGTCCACTTACGAGTGAGAACATGTGGTACTCAGTTCTTTGTTTCTGTGATAGATCACTGAGTATTATTGCCTGTAGCGTTTTATGGTATTACACCTTCACCACCACCACCGTCATGACTGTCACCACTGTCACCACCACCACTGTCAACATCTCCACACTATCCACAAGGTCATTGGTTCTTAAATTGTTTTCTCCAGACCACCAGCGTCAGCATTCCATGGGAACCTGTTAGAAATGCAAATTATTAGGCCAGGCACGGTGGCTTACGCCTATAATCCCAGCATTTTGGGAGGCTGAATGAAGTGAGAGGATTGCCTGAGCCCATGGGTTTGAAACCAGCCTGGGCAACTTGGTGAGACCTCATTTATACAATAAGTCAAAAAATTAGCTGGATATGGTGGCGTGTGCCTGTAATTCCAGCTGCTTGGAAGGCTGAGGTGGAAGGATCACCTGAAACCCTGTGGGTCAAGGCTGTGGTGGCCATAAGCATACCACTGCTCTCCAGACTGGGTGACAGAGTGAGACTCCAACTCAAAAAAAAAAAAAAAAGAAATGCAAATTATTATTATTATTATTATTTTGAGTTGGAGTCTCATTCTGTCACCCAGGCTGGAGGGCAGTGGCACGCTTCCGGCCACTGCAGCCTCAACTTACTGGGCTCAGGTGATCCTTCCGCCTCAGTTTTCCAAGTAGCTGGAACTGCAGGCACGTGCCACCATGTTGGGCTAATTTTTTGATTTATTGTAGAGATGAGGTCTCGCCAAGTTGCCTAGGTTGGTCTCGAACCTGTGGGCTCAGGCAGTCCTTTCACTTCGGCCTCCCAAAGTGCTGGGATTATAGGTGTGATCCACCGCTCCTGGCCTGGGCCCTTGGTTTCAAATTAAGTCCTCAATGAGTCCTTTGGTGAGACAGAGACATACAAGAATGTTTTACATATTTATTTCCTACATAGAGTGGGTAAAGGAATCAGGAGGAAGTTAGGAAAGGGGGTAATTAATAGCTGACTGTACTACTGGACCCCCAAAAGACCCTGAAAGGGAAGTACTATGTCCTAGAGGCTGAGGAAATGACCCAGAAACCACAGAGGAGACATGGGCTTTATTCAGGAACTTATATACAGGAAGGTCCAGGAATGGCTGGACAGAAAAAAAAATCCCTCCCAATGGTAAAAGGCACAAAGGTCATGCAGTCTTTTACAGAGGGTGGAGCAAGGGGGTTAAGCAAGAAAAGGGAGGGTCTAGTTCACAGGTGCAGTGTGAGAACCACTTATGCATGCATCGCACGTACTCAAAATGGCTGTGAATTCTGTCCAGGGGTGGGATATTTAGTATTATAATGAGCCAAAGATGAATTAAAGGTAACCAAAAGCTATGCGCATTGATCCAGGCAGTCTGATCTGGTCTAAAACAGCCCAGGGAGGGGGGAAGCGACCACCTCAAGGAAGGGTGCCCTAGAACATTCGCTCCTCAGGCTCCAAACCCCTGCTCGGAGCCATATCCAGGATGTGCTCATGTTGTCACTAAGAGTGTGTCACCTTACACTGACCATATTTCTTTTTTTATTTTTTTGAGTTGGAGTCTCACTCTGTCGCTCAGTTTGGAGAGCAGTGGCACGCTCAAGGCCACCCCAGCGTCGACCTGTTGGGCTCAGGCGATCCTTCCACTTAAGCCTTCCAAGTAGCTGAAACTGCAGGCGCACGCTACCACGCCCAGCTGATTTTTCATTTATTGTAGAGACGAGGGCTTGCCAAGTTGCCCAGGCTGGTCTCGAACCCGCGGGCTCAGGCAACCCACTCACCTCGGCCTCCCAAAGTGCTGGGATTACAGGCTGAGCCACCGAGCCCGGCCTAATCATATTTCAAACCAGTGGATAGGCATGACTTCTGCCTAGAGAACTGCAAAGGGGTGTGCAGTATCTTATGGAAATGGGGAATGGGTTGTTAGTTGCCAGGACAGCAGGAGCCATTGGCCACTTCCCCATTCTTGTCTACAACAGCAGCTCAGGCCCCACAGTCTGGGAAAGGCTACCAAGTTGGGGTCACACTTCCAGCAGTGGGAACTGTGGGCCTGGGCCTACCCTTGTTTCTCTCCCTAGTGTCCCTTCTCCTGGTGATGCCCATAGACCCACCCGTGGTCTGACTGTGGAATCCTCTCATTCTCATGGAGAAAAAGGCTGCTTATATGTACATGTGACTGTTGTCTCCCAGGGGCACAGAAGATGGCTGAGAACCAAAAGCACACCAGTCCCTTCAACAGCTGTGTGGGCTGATCCCCAAGCCCCACCTCCCACTCCTTAGTCACCAGGGCCACCTGACCTCCTTTTGGTTCTTCAAGGTAACACACACACACACACACACACACACACACACACACACACACACACACACACACGAAAAGCTAAACTTCATAAAATATTTAATTTTCAAAAATTTTAGTACTGTGGGCTACATGTGAGAATGTTTTACATGGCTATATTATGCGAAGGCAAGGTTTGGGCTTCTGATGAGCCCTCTCCCTCAGTAGTGGGCATGTACCCAATGGGTGGTTTTGAATCCCTTGTCTCCCCTCCCTTTCTCCCTCCTTTAGCAGTGCCCAATGTTTGTTGTTCCTATCCCTGTGCCTGTGTGTGCTCAATGTTTAGTGCCCACTCAATGATAAGTGAAAAGATGCGGTATTCAGTTTTTTGTTTCTGTAATAGTTCACTTAGAATGATGGTGCCAGCTGCATCCATGCTCCTGCAAAGGACACGATTTTGTTCTTTATGACTGCCTATTTGTAAAATATTTAAAGAAGTTTATTCTGAGCCACATATGAGTGATCTAGGGCTGCTGGGCTCTGGCGATCCTTCCACCTCAGCCTTCCAAGTAGCCGGAACTACACGCGTTCGCTACCACTCCCGGTTAATTTTTGATTTGTTGTAGCAATGAGGCCTTGCCAAGTGACCCTGGTGGGTCTCTAATCCGCGGGCTCAGGCAGTCCGCTCGCCTCGCTTCCCAAGGTGCTAGTATTACAGGTGAGTCACCGAGCCCAGCTCATTTTACTTCTAAGTTTTGCCTGGGTCACGAGGAACTTTTGAGATAACGGGTAAAGTCGTTTTTGCTTTTTTTTTTTGCGTTGGAGTCTCACTCTGTCGCCCAGACTGGAGTGCAGTGGCCGCTTCCGGCCACCGCAGCCTCGCCTGCTGGGTGTCGGCGATCCTTCGGTCTCAGCCTTCCAAGTAGCTGGAATTACAGGTGCGCGCTACCACGCCCGGCTAATTTTTTGATTTATTGTAGAGATGAGGTCTCGCCAAGTTGCCCAGGCGGGTCTCGAACCCGAGGGCTCAGGCAATCCACTCACTTCAGCCTCCCAAGGCGCGGGATTACAGGCTGAGCCACCGAGCCCGGCTGCAAAGTCGTTTTTTAATTAAGTTTTCTCTTAGAGCCCTCTGCCTCAGCGTCTCCGGTCACTCCCTGCTGTCCTGTTCTCAGTCTTTGTACCCAGCCGCCCCATGTTCCAGGGTCGGGCCTGGATGTCGGTCAGTGTGTAGTTGTGTAAAAGAGTTATGCCCAGATAAGGCGGCGCCCAGATGCAGATGCCTGACCATCTGGTTTTCTAATTATCTAAGCCTGCCTGAAAGAAACTCGATATAAGCCATGCTAGCTGTCCTGCCTCACAAGGACCCCCCTCCGCTGACTGCCTTCACCCCTTACGTCTCAGCGTGTCCGTGTTCTGTGTCACAATGAGGCTACCAAGAAGTCGGTGGGGAGAGAGGCGTGGGAGGGGGGCACGGAGGGCGCCTTTGCGTTTTGGGTTAAATCCATTTCTTGCGCCCAGGACACCCCGGCGGGAGCCTAGGCGGGCGCTGGCGCCGC